TATATATATATATATATATATATATATATATATATATATATATATACGTAAATTGCATATTTTCATGGTGTTTAATAATTTTTATATGCTTCTTAAAGTTACACACTAGGAAAAAATGTGTGTTGGAACTGAGAGAATTAAAAACAAAATCTGGATTTCCCATAGTAAAGAGGACGTAGAGCGTTTTTCTGTATCAAAACTAACACAAAGCAGAGAATAGTCACATGACTGACCTGCTGTTTACTGAAATTTCACCTGACTATAAATAGTTGCCATATGTTAAGTCGTTAATGGATTTGACTATGCTTTCTGGTTTATTGAGTCATATTTTTATCTATTTATTGTTTTTCTTTTTGCTTTTGCAGTTAAGAGCAGTGAATGGATGGACAGATATCATCTGAAATTTCTGGGATCAGTGCAAGTGCCCTACCACAAAGGAAATGATGTCCTGTGTGCAGCTATGCAGAAGGTAGAGAGACAAATATTTTGCACTTTTGAGTGCCGTAATGTCTGGACTATAAGCCGCTGCTTTTTTCACTCACTGTAAACACCGTGGTTTACACAATGCTGTGGCTAATTTATGGTTTTTTTTTTCTTTTTAATGGGCTAAAGAGCTTCATACCACTAAAACATTTAGCTTTTAAAAGGGATGTCGCCACTGTGCTTGCTCAGGATGGGAGACTGCAACGAAGCCAAGATTCATCTTGTGTGCTGGCCTCCTTAGATAGAGAACTTTACTAATTGGCTTTTATGTATGTGAATGTTCCTGTAAAGTGCCCTGAGAAAACTTTGTTGTGATTTGGTGCTATATAAATAAATAATAAATCAAATAAATAAAAGTTGTCACACCCGAGCACTGTGACTCAATGAGACTACCTGTATAGATAAAGGTTTTAAAAAACATGACCAAAGAAATTACCGAACAGGTCACATAGACAAATGAAACAAAGTGAAAATGAGCTCTTTGGGGGACTTTAGGAAACAAAGTTTGCCCCCTCCTTGGAGGCACAACAAAGTATTTGCAGCCACTTGAAATGTGTGATTTGTGCATTTAAAATGGCACTCCGAGCTCAGTGGGATGTTGGCAGGTAGCTTGATGGAGGACAGCACAAGCTTGCACAGGAGGAAGATGAATGTAGCATTCAATGACTTCCTGGTAGACCACTGTATTTTTTTTAAACAGCCACATTACAGGCACTGTCCAGAAAAAAATAAATCAATAAATAAAACTCACTGCACATATTTGTGTATGTTACCTGTAGATATTTATTAAAAGTTTAAATTTTTTCACTGTGTAAGTATCTCATGTTGCAACGTGCATACTCACAGCTTATATGTGTACTTTTTTATGTAGTGGGCGTGGTTTATATTTAGCTGCGCTCAATAGTCTGAAAATTACGGTATTAGTTTGTGCATATGCCAAAACTATGGCAAAAGACAATATCCAATAATTAATGTCAACATCTAGATAGAGCTGGATTGCAACTTAAAATATATATTTTTAGACGTTTCAGGCTTGTTGAATGTTAGATTTGTATTTTTCTACTCCTCTTGCAGATTGCCACCAACAGAAGGATGACAGTGAAGTACAACCCCCCTTCCTCCTGCGTTCTGGAGATCAATGTTAAAGGGATCAAGCTTGCCGTTCAAGAGGACTACTATACCTGTGATAGAGTAAGACTTTTTATTTTGTTCCTTCGATTTTTAAAGGTCTTTGCCTAAAATTCCAGTTCATGTGACATACAACTCATGGTTTTCTGACTGATAGTTTAAAATCAAATTATATCAGTTTACAGTGAGCATGTAAGAGATGAACACAATGACAACTTTGACTAATGAAATAAAGTCACAGAGCGTTTCAGTTTTAAAACTAGACTTTTAATCCACTTGTGTGTTTTGTGTTTCGTTGACAGAGTAATGAGTGCAGCCACTTCTTCCAGCTGAGGAATGTCTCCTTTTGTGGCTATCATCCCAAAAACACCAAGTAAGTTTGTTGTAGTAAGGTTTGCACTCTGCTCTTCACCTGCAGAAACGTGACTGAGCCACTAGGTGGAATCCAAAAAATGTTGCAGAGTTCAAACAGCGTTGTTCAGGGGACAAACAACTGCAGAATGTAATGTGCTGAAGTGGTTATCATCCAGAATGTCCTTCTGAAAGCTCTTTATTTCTGTCTGCAGGTATTTTGGTTTCATAACAAAGCACCCAGCAGACCAGAGGTTTGCCTGCCACGTGTTTGTGTCTGAAAACTCAACCAAGCCTCTCGCAGAGTCAGTGGGGTGAGTTAACAGGACTTGACTAGTTTCATGAAAGGGATGATCTGTGATGTGTTGTTGCATGGAGAGTGTTGGCAGAGTGAGTCTGTGTGTTTTCATAGCTTCATGCCCTTCAACAGGTTCCTAGAGATGTCAGCAAAGGCATGCAGTGTCATGTGGCTGAACGTGCACGCTGAGCAATGTTTCTGTTGCCATAGATTATAATCTGACTATCTAACAAAGTATTAATGCCAAAAACGAGCTCCTTAATCCATGGTTGATTTTTTTTTCTACCTAATTTACAAATATAAATTGATATTACATGTTTTAGACGCTGAAAGACCAGATTAATAAGCAATGAAAAAATTAAATAAAAAAAATCCTAATTATTTGGTTGTAAAGTTGGGATCAGAACTTCACTCTGGTTCATGAAATGCCAACTGGGAGTCATAGCATGACAAGTCCTTACACTATAAAATAATGACTCGTAAGTAGAGTCTTATATACTCTTATATACAGTATATTTAAGGCTTTATGTTAATTAAGTTTTTTATTTAAAATTTATTTATAGGGGGAGTGGTGATGCAGAGGTTAGAGAAGGTGGGCCTGTGATCGGAAGATCGCCGGTTCAAGCCCGACAACATCAAAAATGTGGGTGGGGTAGGTGAAGCACTCACACCTGCCACCACCCTCATTCGCCCCACTCTGGGCCCTTAAGCAAGGTCCTTAACCCCCACCATCTGCTCCTCCAGGTGTCCTAGATAGCAGCTCTGTGCTCCACACAGAGGGCTGTGGTAGCTCGGTGTCTGTGGTTGCGTCAGGAAGGGCATCCGGCGTAAAAATAACTGCCAAGTCTTCGTGCGACTTAGTTTGCTGTGGCGACTCCTGAAGAAGGGAGCAGCCAAAAGAAGAAAAAAAATATATATATACAGTATATTTAAGGCTTTAATTTAATTACATTTTTATTTAAACTTTATTTATACAGTTAGTCTCATTGAGTACCATGAGACTAGCTGAGCATCGAGGACTCATTTTCAAGTGAGACCTGTTTGGGAGCAGATGGTGGGGGGTTCAGGGCCTTGCTCATGGACCCAGAGTGGAGCAAATGAGGGTGGAGGCAGGTGTGGGTGCTTCTCCTTTTTCATCCACACTTTGATGTTGTCAGTCCGGGGAGTTGAGCCAGCGACCGTCTGATCACAGGTCCACCTTCTCTAGCCTCTACACCACCAACCCCCCCCCCCCCCATAGCCCCTTTCCACTCTCTTATAAACACTTCAGTGTTTCCCCTAACATTATACAAGCAGGGCGCCCCACCCTGTCAACTGAACCGAGTGGCCCACCTACCGAACCGTCAGCCCCCCGCCTCCCGTCGGCACTGATGTAGCGCTAAGGTAGCAGTGCGTAATACAGAAGCGCTAACTAAAAAGCTAAAGGCAGCGCTTATGCGGCCTCTTTCCTCACGCTGAACCCCCCCACCGCCCCCCACCCTCACACACACACACACACACACACACACCTCCGTTCAAAAACCGTTGGTACAAACAGCGCGCAGCTCAGACGTGTCTCCATGTGAGACTGTGAGATATTTAGATTGTGTTCATATAAATAATTAACAGGTGTCCATTTAAGTTGTCTATTTAAACGTTCTAATAAAACGTCACTTGTTGGTTCAAGTACTGAATTGTGCAGTTTTAAGTCTGGAAATAATTGTGACTTGTGTTTTTGTGTTGTTGTTGTTGTTGTTTTTAGGAAAGCCTTCCAGTTGTACTACAAAGAGTTTGTGGATTTCTCGTGCCCGACAGAGGACATTTATCTGGAGTGACCCCGTCTCCTATCCAACGCCTGTACAGTGCTCTGTATCATAACGAAATGTTGCATGGGAGAGATATATTTCAAAATTTAAATTAAAAATAAATAACACATCTGACTGAATAAATCAGGATATGAACGTGCATTAATCCTGTGGTGTACAAGAAGAGGAACTAAACACAAGCCAAAGGATGTATACAAAGGACATATGTAAAAAAAAAAGCATTTATGCAAACGGCATCAGATATGGAGTTGGGCATATCAGTGCAAAGCACAAACTGTAAGTGTGAGCTGCTGGTTATCATGTAGCATCATGTCAACATGTGCATCACTGGAGATATGGACTGCTCTGATGAGTGAAGGGAATCAGCAGCTCCTCTTTGACCTCCGTCACTCTAAACATTGAGGGTTCGAGCACAAAAACGCCCTGACACTAAAATGTACATTAGATGACATAAAAACAAGTGAATCTAATCCATTTATCACACCTTATAAGAGCATACACATGTTTTTGACAACTAAAACCCAGTAGTAAATCCAGCTATAGGAATCTGTCAGTATTCCAGCACTGTTTTGATATTAGAATGCAGTAAGAGCCATGCAGCACAGGAATGTGGGTGTAAGCAAAGATGCCGTAAATGTAAGGGCTGCTGCATCTGGGTTCGTACATGCAACCAGGACAAAGGAAAACCCCTCGTGATACTTATCCACCTGATAAATTATCGCTGTTAGGTGTAGATAATCTGTGTCAGACATAAAAGTTGTAGCCCACAGTGTTGAACAAATATTATTGAAGTGTGCTGTGCATTCCTTCTCCATGTTGAAGAAAAGAGTGAACTTTTCCACGTCTTCACTTGGCACTGCAGTGTGAGGCTCAACAACCACCACCAGGTGCCCTGTAGAGCCTATTTAATGTTTGCTCATATGTCAGGACACTGTGCTTTCTAATATGATTTTACAAAGACAAACATCTGAGGTAAATGGTGCAGTAGAGGATGAGGTCTTTGAAACATCACACTCACAGTAGGGAGATCAAGCACCTGTGACATACAAATCCTGCAAATGTTAAAAGTGGAAGAAAACATCTTAATATTTAAGAAATTTTACACCGTCCACATAATTTTACCCACTTTGTCACATACTTGTTTTTATTTTTTTCAACTTGGCACAGACAAAGTGAAACTGGAAGTGACATCAAAGGTGAACTCTTTACAACTTCCTGGGATTGTTTACTGAATATTATTTTAACTCTGAGTCTTCTTTGTATCTCCCTCTGATAGTACTGTAGTCCCTCGATTCAATTATCATGGTGGATCCGTACTCTGAAGCCCCGCGACAAGTAAAAAACCACTAAGTAGGAAAAGTAGTACAAGTATATATATATAGATATATATATATATATATATATATATATATATATATATATATATA